GCGTTTACTATGATTATATTGGCAAAAAGTTAAAGACCAAGTTGGCTATAAAAATTATCTAAAAAGGTTCCGAGTCATGAATGCTAGGTAATTCCTTTTAATCCGAGCCATGACTCCGAACATACCCGGTTTTACGATCCCAGAAATAGCAGAAGCCTCCATATGGAAAAGCCCATAAAATTTCTGTCAAATTTTCAATGGAAATCAGTTAATAATCAGCACGTAATCAGCACAGATGATTTTTATGCATCCCGCAGTCATTCTCTTTTACCGAGTTAAAGGATTCTTGGGATCGGTTTCTGCTCATAGATTTCATTATGTTTAAGTTATTTTTAAGTTGTAATTACTGCAATTGACTGATTCTCTTTTTTACAAAATACAAATATTGACCAGTGGCCTTGAGCTCAATTAAATTAATGGTCAGATGTGTAAAAGTAGAACTGTATTAACTTTTGTACGAGCCATATTCACATGCATGTAAATTACTGATTCTTTAAATAACAGTAGGACAAACCCTGGTAATGAAGCTTAGTGGCTCGAACAGGGCTGGTTCGATGCGTAACCGTGGCGGCTTACGGCTATTTAGCGCTGATATGATAGCGCTTGCTGTCTGCAGTTGATAAGATTAAAGTTGATTTGTCAAAAACATTGATAAAGTACTCTTTGATAACAAAACTGCTCAAGCGGTTTCCCCTTAAAAACTTGTACTATCTTTGAGTAGGTATTTTTTTGCGAATATTTCTTATAAAAATAAGAAATATTCGCAAAAAAATATTCTGAGTTTGTCCTCAAGTATGATTTTTCCCTGTCAGCATCTGTTTTTTCTCTCTTACCTCCCGATGCCAAACGCGAAAGGAAATTTTCAATAAAATTTGGTTAAAACGCTAGCTTTAATCGCTCAAAATCAAGATTTTTTTTAGATTGATTAGAAGAGGCTATTAATTTTGCTGGCTACTTTATTTGGAATTTGATGAATAATTTGTTTGGTACAAAAAAAAAAGAAAAAAAAAAGTGGTTTTGAGTGTCCAGATGCGATCAAACAGTAACTGAAAGTCATAATCCAAGAATGCTTGAATAATTGATATAATATTCAACAAACCTGTAAACACCTGAGTGAGGGAGAGGTATAAACTGTATGTATATTTAGGCTTCTTTCGGATAAAGAACGGCCGACCAGTTCTGCGCCAGCTCGTCCAGTTTGCGTCAACGGTGGATCGTCCGAATAGCAATCCGGACCGCCAGTTCGCGCTACTGTTACCACCGTCTGACTCGTATCCATCTAAAATGTGAATCCGCTTTATTAAGACTTTTTGCCCACGAGGATTTCGAAAAGAGGATTTCGACTGGGAAATGAAATCTGTCAAATAACCAAAAAAAAGATATGTTGCTTACTTTAGCAAGTGCATTGTGATTCCGAAATGCGCCGTTGGTTCGCCATCCACCGAACTCGGCGGGCTCACCATTCCTGATCAAATAAATCCTCCTCGTCGTGTCTTTCTGCAGCGGAAAAAAACGCACTTTCATGCTATATTACTCGCTTCGCACTTCGATCCAGGGAGAAACAAAAAATGAACGACAAGTAAACTGCTAGTGTTTGGTTAAGCTCAGATCGTGTGGGGAAAAAAAGTGCTAGGAAAAACTTACTCTTACCACTGAATTTACAAGCATACCTACGAGCTAGTTTAAGGAGCCAAAAAAAAAAAAAAAAACAAGTGTAACATCATACAGCCAAAAAAAAAAACCGTAGTACTGGCAAGCATGGTGTAGTGTTCATGCTGTACTTCAAGGATTTTAATGGGAAAAGCAATTCTCCTAGGATTCATTTATTCGTTTCGATGGTAAATTGATACCAGCACATTTCACCAGAACATGACTATTTGTATTTGCTTCCCAAAAACCCCTGGAAGAAGTCACAGGTGGCCTTGTCAGCAGGTGTTTGCTGTCGGCACATGTTCCAACTTGGATTGCCTCCGGGTGACCCCGTCATTCGAAAGAAGAAGGAGTGAGCCCCGTGGAGGAGAGTTTTAATTTTGACTATGATTACTTCCCTAATTATGATTAAATGGTTAACAAAATGAACGGCATAACTATGAAGACAAGTAATTTTCTCAGAAAAAGCAGTAAGTCAAAAAAGAAAGAGTAAACCAATTTTTTTGGCCTTTGCGAAAGACCAAATAATGAATTATTGATGATGGCTTGTTTTATGGGACAGAGAGAGAGAAAGGGAAGTGGTCCTATACCCACTCACTCGGTCGTCCATTTGCACTGGCCTTTTCTCCCGGACTCACCATAGCAGAAACAAATTTTTTGTTGCGAAAAATTCACAAACAGTTCTCGAATGAATTGCTCTAAAAGTTTGTTCTTTGAAAAATGGAATTGTGGAGCACTTTTTTTTTCGACTGTCTGCACTTGCTTAGCGTTCATCTGCTCAGTTATACCTTATCAAATGGCCTGTAGCAGAGTCTTGTCCTTTTACTTCACTTCATTTTCTCCAACTGGGTCGGCTGGATTTACTTATACAAAGGGAAGAAATCGAAAGGATGAAACAACACGAGCAAATAAACCCTTACTTGTAGATCAAGGAGAAAAATTGCGAATCATAAATCTAAAATGCGGGACAACCCAGAAACGCAGATTGAGTTTCGCTATTCAACGTAAAAAAGTAAAAAAACCTATCTGCACTAGCTCCCAGTGAGGAGCGGCGATATTTGGGAAGTAGCACGAGAGGTAGCAATGCTGGCAAGGCTGTCGACGACTTCTTCTTTCGAGAGTTGCTTAGAAGCAAGCTGATGTGACGGCGTTCCACAAAAAAATGCAAAATTTCAGTTTTTACTCACTTCATATACCAATTATTTATTTTTTAAACCTAATAACTTATGTGCTAGCCAGTGAGTAAAGAAATTGTTTATCATTATGTGTCAAAAAAGCTGGTGAAACTACTAAACTAAAACACTCAGTGATGCTATACGAAAAGATCTGTTATCGCACCTCCAATTTGTCTTAGTGCAAAACAGATGACTAGCAAATCCTGGAAAACATAAATCCTGAGCGAAAAAGTAGAAAACACATTGTTTGATAAGCAAAATAAGTTCGAGAGGCTGTGTTTTGGAGATCGGAAGACTGAACATCCAGGGGCTTGAAGAAGCTGGCAAAATGAACTTTGGGCATCAGGCAGCAGAGTGACTTGTGGAAAGATTTTT